ATGATTTTTTTTTTGGGGAATATCGACAACCGGTCAATGGCGTAATTGCGACTAGCCGTTGTGGGTCCCGCTTTGTCCCCACTATCTTGTGACAATTAAAAAAGAAAAGTAGTGAATCGATAGGCTATTCTCATCAAGATTATCGGGTCGCGCGACTCTCACAATTTCTGTCGCGCGCCTCTATTTCTCTCGAGCGTGAATTTATAAGTCTGAGCACAATTTTAAAGTAAAACGCCCGATGTAGACTACCTTCGTCGATCGAATGAAGGTCAATCGCCCTGCATCGCTCGTCTCCACCTGCAGGTTCTCCCCTCCATAAATAGAACTCATTTGCCATCGGAGGCTCTCTACGAGTCAGTGCTCATGGATCTTGAATTCGGAAAACAGAGTTTCTTATCAGATGTGGATCTGGGAAAGGCCGGCCCCTCAAATCTAAACTTCCATTCCCCTCGTAAGTGTCTTTCATTGAAGTTTTTCCCTTTTTTTTTTAGCAGAGAGAATGTTCAAAATTGAAAATTACTATCACTCCAGACCTCCTTACTTTTCGTTCTCTACCTTGTGTGGTATTTGGGTCCGCATAGTTAGACATTTTGTTTGCTTCTTTTTTCCTTTTTTAGCTATCGAAAATTATCATATATTAAATTGCATAACAAAAAGCATAACATCCCACGTAGGTTCTTCTAATAAACATGAAACGGAATAGATGAGCAAATAAAGACAAAATAGAAATAGCTGGTAACACCGCTGCAGCCCAATCAAGAAGATGGGGCCTCTCGTAACCTTTCGGAGTTGCACATATTCTTCTACACAATAGCTATCCAGCAGCATTTGCATCTCATGCCTTGAAAAGCAAAGGCCAAGCTACTCCTTAAAATTACGAACTCCATTACAGCAATCTCTAAAGCATCCAGGCTCTGAAGTGAAGAAGTTCTGCCAGCTACAACAGAAAAAACCTCCAATCCATGACCTAGGGGAGATGACTCCCCAGAGTTTCACACCAAAAAGTGGCAAACCTAATAACTTCGCAAGTAAAACCAGCCGCACAGACATCAACAAGAACTGAACACACACACACACATATATATATATATATATATATTTTGTGTAAATTTCCACTTTGACACAGAGCAATATACTTTCGATCTTTAGTAAAAAGATGACACAAAAACAAGAGAATATGGAGAGGATCAAAGCAAACCATTTTCGGATATATCCTCTCAACTTCAAAACCACTAAAACCCTTATCCAAATACTCAGCATCCTTGAATAAACCATACTTCGGCAAACCATCATCAAACATATTAGCATTACTAACAGCTACTATAAACTTTCCATTCTTGATTTCCATTACTATAAGATACGCTGAGAGTAAGGGAACAACAACATCCATGGTACTCACAGTCATGGTAACCTCAGAATCCTTTCTCGGATGATACACTATAATTCTCCCAAAATACTATAATTATAAGAGACTTAGGATTACCCAAGAAATTACCATGAAAAACACCCCTAAAACTCCAAAGCATGGAAGAAATTTCTGAATGAAGAGAGACAGACTAAGAATATCATGTTGGAACCCGCAATTAACTATAAGGATCATAATCTCGGCAATTATAAGCACTAAATCCCATTTAAAGATGTTCCTCACACTTGGCCAAGTGGTTTGCCACTTGGCTGAGTTAGTGGGGATATCATTCTAGTTGAATGTTTGACTCGATCCCTTTCCCAATCCGTCCTTATTAGTAGGTATGAATGTAATTTGTTCAAAAAAAAAAAAAATCCCATTCAAAGGTAACGAATACAAAATCCAAAACAAGATGGTAGAGACTATTTAAAGGAAGGGTTTCCTGGAAACAACAATGCCTGCAGAATTAAGGTGTCCAACCAGATCTGCAAAATGGGTGCTAAAAACCCATCTCCAAATCTGTAAAAAGGATGCATCTGGACCGCGCGACTCCTACAATTTGTATGGTGCGCTTCTATATCGCTCGCAAGATGGCAGTCTTCGCGTGATTTAAAGTCAACAGCGCGATCTTGAATACCTTTCTCAGTCGAGTGAAGATCAATCGTTCTGCATCGTTCTTCTCGACTCCACCTGGTTTTCCCCTCCATAAATCTACGGATCTGCGAGTGCATCGGAGGCTCTCTACGAGTCAGTGCTCACGGATGGCTTTGAAAAATCTGGTTTCTATTCATATGTAGAGTTGGGGAAGGCCGCTCCAGCAAATCCCAACTTCCATGCCCTCTGTTAACTGTCTTTCATTGAAGTTTTTTTAATTAGCAAAGAAAATGTTAAAATTGACAATTAAGATCACTCAAGATCCTCCTCACTTATCGTTCCCCACCTTGTATGGTATTCGAGTCCACACGCGTGTGCTCCAGAGCCAGTCCGGTTTATACCCATATAAATCAGTTGCTTGTATTTGTTCTTTGTTAGTGCTAAATATAGTTCTCAATCATCTGGACGGATGGACGCACACAAAAAAGAAATGAACAAATTACTGAGCTAAGAAATAGCTCAATTTGAGTGAGAAATACTAATTTTATGGATCTCCTATTGTTGATTTTGATTGTATTCTAAAATTATGAACTTTTTGCAGATCCTTTGTGGGATGAGTGCTTAACTTTTGATTCAGTGTCGAATTCAACCGTAATTACTAGTGAAGTCAAGGCTTTCAAGAAAAGGCTAAATGACAGAAAATACAGAGAAAAATTGAAGGTAGTTAGTGCTATCTCTATTATATGGAATTCTGATTGTCATTTAATTTTTGTCTGCATTTCTGGTGCTGTGATATGTACTCTGTATTTGACATCTTTGCTTTCATCTTTTCAGTTAGACAAAATGAGAATGAAAACCGACATGGAATCACTTGATGAGGAGAATGAGAATTTGAAGAAAGAGAATGAAAGGTTGAAACATGTGCATGGTTCGATGAATGGAACTTTGCAAATGCAAACAAAATTGATAGATCAATTGAAGGGTGATCTTGACAAATTGAATGATGAGTATAAGAAGCAAAATGTCCTTGTGCAAAGACTGTCAGAACTATTAGTAAGCGTCTTAATATTACCTTATTCCTTAATTTTTGTGATACTTATGTATATTCAGTCTCATTTAAAATATAGGTCATGTAAATTGGGCATTTGAGTTTCAACATAAGGCTTGTGTTTTAGTTAAAACCAATTAAATATATCATGTGAAAATTGTGTGCATGTGGGTTTAAACACAAGACTTACATCTAAACTAAAACTAATTGACAATAGGTGAAATAGTCCTCTTCGCATTTAAGTCACACATGTTTCTTATTTTACATGAATGTGAGATTTTGCCATTTAACATGCAAGCTCAATATGAACTTCAAGTCCTATTATGCAACCTAATAAGTCATGTGTGTATCTTAAGTCAAATTGGTTTAAATATCTAATTTTCACCCCAATGGGTGGCTCAATAGTTAAGAACTTGATCTTAAGTTCGAACTTTGAGTTGGGTGGGGAGGGATTTAGGGAAAGAGGAGGACTATTCCTTCTTATATAACTCATTCAAATATACAAAAAAAAAAAAAAAAAAAAATCTAGTTTTCAAATCAGGAGTATTCTTCTAAAGTTAGAAACTCATTTCAGCTATTGTACACACTGTTTGCTTAACCTGGAAATCTAGACCAGGTTGGTAATTGATTTGAGGTTGGATATAATTCTCAAATGGTGTTTGAGTTCACTTGCTTTTTCTAATATTCCATCAGAGTCCTTATTTACTGTTAAAGCCTCTTTGTTAGCCCACATGCACGGTCGAATAGGAAAAGCATGTTAAAGTCTAATTGGTTTTAGGTGTGATATCATATGCTGTTCGAGTCTACTTGCTTTCTAAACATTGGCATGGTGCATAAATCTTGATGGGTTTGAAGAGTGAACCTGATGCATAACTCTCAAATATGATTCAAACTTTTAGACTGATGATTCGCTACTGTTTTTATTTAATATTTATACATATTCATTTTTTCTTTATAGGCATGCCCCGACCTCCAGCTGGAAAACGAAAGGCTGAAATTAGAAAATAGTCAATTGAGACGTTATGCAGGTCTAGATTATCGCGTGGTGCTTGCAGAGGAGAATGTAAAACTAAAACTTGAAAATAAGGTACTCAGAGTGCAGAATGATGCCTTGTGTGGGAAATTAATCAGTGATAGTGACAAGAAGCATGCATCAGAATTGGCAGGATGAGCTACCATTAGTACATGTGTGTGATGTTAATTCTATTTCTTTTTCTTTTTGTACATCGGATGATGGGCTATATGGCAGTATATAGCCCCTCCACACCTGTCTCAGGATTTGAACTTAGAATCTCCAACATGGAGTTTCGAGATTTTAACCACTGGGACATTCCACAGGAGACTTTATTTCCTACTTATACACTCATTAGCTATGGGCTTTGTAGTACCACTGAATGTTAAATGATTTTTTCTTTGATTACTCATCTTTTAATCTCAGTCTCTTGTCAAAGCTCCTTGCCAAGTAGAATATTACACATGTTTGTCTCCAAACAGCAAAGCCATACAGATTGGAACAGAGTAAGCTGGAAAGCAATACTTCTGATGTCTGCGTGTTTGCTCTTTGGATTATAGTTACTGTCTGTCTGGCTATAATTTTGTCATACATAAGTAGGGTTGCTGTATGTATGCTACTGTGATTTGCAGTTATTGCAAACATAATTAATTTAAATACCGAGCTAATGGTTATGGATGAGATTGAGAAATTGCAATGCAAAAAGGAAATAATTGAAGTGAAGACGGAAGATTTATGTGATAAAATGAGTGACAATTGCCATGAACAAGGACTTCGTCCTCATCATTAATTGCCTATACTGATGTTCCTTGTTCACTTTATCCTCAACCAGACAAAAATAGGGTATGCTGAGACTGCATGAAGATGCTTTGTTCGGGAAAATGGTCAATGACAATGACGACGCATGACGTAATTCTAGCATGATAACTTTCCATTACTCAAGTCGATGTCTCATGTGATTATTTCTCTTTTCCTTTTTCTGGTTTGTACACCCAAATAAATTCCTTGCAACACGCTTTGTATATCCACAAGAACTTATGCAATTTCTTGCCTTGCTTGTTCTTTGTCTCATCCCACTCCTCAAGTTCCTTGTACATGTTTTTGCAGAAAGTTGAAGTCATGGAGATTAAGAAACAGAAAGAGGTAGTATTTCTTCAATATGAAATTGAAGCAATAGCTCCGATGCAGTATTAGATTATAATTATAGTCTGTATGGCCTTAATTTCAGTAGTATATCGCTCTCTTCTAGCGATATTTGCATTATTATTATGATAACGTGATTTGGAATTAATGTGAACATATCTATCAGAGTTGAGATTAGGATGAGAAAGTATAGTGGGAAAAGAATATAAGTCAAAGGAAATGCAAATGTTCTTTATGTCATAACTTGGTAGACAACCATGAACAAGCAGGGACACATCCCCATTATTAACTGTCTATACATTGTTATGTTCCCTTTTTAATTTTATGCTTAACTAACAGAAACTGAGAACAGAACAGCCAGTTGTTAATCCAGAAACTAGCTATATTAAATTGTTGATGCCGTGTTTGAAAAACGGGATGACAACTTGTATCATGTAGCCAACATTTTGTCTGTAAAAGGACGAAACACCTTTTCGGAGAATCAATTTAATTTGTAGTGCTAACTGAGATGTCTGAAATCATGATGTAATGTAGCTCCATCTCCTGTTCATATGTTTTCTTCTACTTCTGGGTTTGTCTCTTCATATTCGGAAAGCGACCTTCTTACTCGGTAGCTAAAAGTAATTTCTCTCCAACTACCACGAGATACTCCCATATCTTTGCGCATGTCCTATTTGTTGTGGTCCATATGGAAATGTCTAATCCCATTTACTAAGACTTTGTAGGAGTTAGCGCGGTTTTTAGAGTCCATCGGGGGGCGGTTTGGATGCGCGGGTAACACTCTCAACGATCACGCGGTGGCGGCTTTCATCCTCCAAGCCTCACTTCCACTTCCACTTCCACAACTATAAATTAGAACTACGGCATCGTTTGCACTAGGCATAGCTCGACTCGACTTTTCTCTTTGTTGGATCAGGTGCGAGATTCCTCTCCTCCTTTCTTTTCAGTGTGGTATAGCAGTTTTACTTTCTTGAATTAGTTTTTATGTTCTGCTCCTATCTTTTTAATATTGGTTCATGCTCATGGATGAGAGACCCTGTTTTGCCTTCTATTGTTCATTTACTGATTCTCCTTTACCCAATAAAATGATGTAAGTGGGAAATTCTGATTTGATATGTCAGAAATTTTCTGAATTTGTTTCAATTCTTCTGTATTCAAAGGGTAATCTCTGCAGGTAGAGTAAGCTTGTGGTCTGTGGGTTTGAGTAGAGTACTTTTTACATGCAATTTAAGATCCAATGCTACTTGATTGCAGCAAATTGATTTCTTTTCACTGCTGTTTTTATTGGAGAGCTGAAATCATGGCGGTGGGAACAGAAAGGAAGGCGTTTCTGGTAGTTTCATTTCTTCCCCTATCATGGCTTGAATCCTGTTTTTTCATGCAAACAACACATTTCCTGTGTCTCATGGTCATATTTGGTTGAGCAAGATTCAAGCCACACCATTGTTCTCAATAGCCAATTTTTTTTTTTTTTAATTTGTGTGCCTAACCAATTTAAACAATTTAGAAACTGAAAAAAAGGGTGGCTTTGAAATGGCCAAGATTGGTAGCCAGGCTAAGAGTAGAACTTATTGAGAAATCACAGCAACTGGAGTTGTCTAAGCATGAATCACGTGAGAAAAATAGCTCAGCAGATATGGAAATAATATCAGGAAGTCAGGCTCAGCAATTATGGAAACAATCTCAAGAAGGCAGGGACAAATCATATTCAAAAGCAACGGTCAAATAATGTGCCGTTGAGCTTCCTCAATGTCAGGCATA